AGTGAGTGAGTGAGTGAGTGTGTGAGTGAGTGAGTGTGTGAGTGCTTATGTATGACTTGACTTTCTTTCCTTTATACCTCACACCCTATTCATAAAGGAGTAAATAAATGTATTAGATTGTGTTATAAAAATCCTGATAAATAAAGCTTATATTTATTACAAGTATCTTGTTGTATTATCAGATTCCAAACTCTACGAGACCCCAATATGCTCTCAGACTTCCTGTAACTGGTTTTGAGACATGAATGAGGTCATTGTAGGATTAGAAATGTGAATATTTATACCACATTAGAATCTAATTACCAAATTATTTTAAGTGATTTCCATTAAATTCTATTCAAATGTATGAGTGCATGTGTTAAAGCATAACTTATAATTTCAACCTGCAAGGAGTTAAAAATGTTATGAATTGTTAGGCAAAACAGATTATAAAATGTAACTTTTCGTTTCATTTCTCTGTTTAGATGTAAAAGACACTCAGATCTTTTGGCTCTGAAACTTGGTGTAAGCAAAACAAAGCTTGGTAATTTGGGGGTAAAGTTTTTGACCCACCCATGCACACGCACACGCACACACACACGCACACGCGCGCACACACACACACACACACACACACACACACACACACACACACACACACACACACACACACACACACACACACACACACACACACACACACACAAAGCTTTTCGCTAGTCCAGACTAACTTTTGTTTATTTTATTTATTTATTTATTTTTTTTCAAATTTTATATATTTAAATGTTATTATTATTATTATTATATTTATTTATTTATTTATTTATTTATTTATTTTTTTAGGGGGGTTACTCTTCATATAGTGTCATGATATGGAATCTGTATTTAAATTTTTCCTATTGTAATTTTGCTCCATTATATTGTATCCTTTTTTTTTTATTGATAATAGTAGTGCTGATAAGACGAATGGCAAAACGATGAATGGAAAAGAGGAGAAGAACTTGGACAAAGTAAATGGGGGAGTAGAAGAGATAAGCTAAGCTAAAAAGAAAGGAAAAGGAAAAGAAAAGAAAAATGTTTATTGTGTATACAGTAAGATCTATATTAGACTTTAGGTAGTTCCTATAAATTTTTTTTTTTTTTTTTTTTTTTTTTTTGGTGGTGCTCACTTGTATGGACTTTGTTTTTAATTTTGTGTGTGTGTGTGTGTGTGTGTGTGTGTGTGTGTGTGTGTGTGTGTGTGTGTGTGTGTGTGTGTGTGTGTGTGTGTGTGTGTGTGTGTGTGTGTGTTTCTTTCTTTCTTTCTTTCTTTCTTTCTTTCTTTTTTTCTTTCTCTGTTTGCATATTTCTGGGATCCCCCCCTCAAAATTGTTATGCTCTTTTATTTCTTAAACTCTAGGGAAGGAAAACTCATTTACAGTATTCTTGTTTTTATTAGATACTAGGGAGTTGATAATTCCAAACTTAAATTTTTGGGAGAAAACCTGCTTTATTCTGATATTGTAGTTTGATTAACTGTTGAGGAAAATTATTTTTAAAAATTGGGAAAATGCTGTGTTCATTTTTTATATTTTTGTGGAATGTCTCTGTACATAGATGGCTCTGCTAGTGCTTAGCCCCAAAGGAGTCAATTAGTAGGCCTTTTGACCTTACCCAATTTCACCTTTCCTTGAATTGGCTGGAAAAGCGTATTTTTTACTAAGGGTATGAATATCAGTGATGTTATTTTTATTATCATCATTACCTGTCATTTAGAACTATTAACCTATTGCCAACGGGCATGCCATGCCATACCCACTGTGAGATTACTTGTTGGATTGTTTTTACACATAGATGGCTACGCTTGTACTAAATCACCAATGAGCCAGTTACGAGCACCGCCTGTCTCGCCCGTTCACCCTTTGCTTTGATTTATGAAATATTTTATGTTATCTTATCTTGCTGTTACTAATGTTATTAAACATTATAAAAATTATAATGTTTATCATAAAAATAACACCATCGATATTCATGGCACTAGTGAAAAATACATTTTTCCCGCCATTTCAGATCAGGCGCTACCAGAGCCATCTATTGGCAGACATTTCACAAAAAAAAATATAGAAAATAGGCACAGCATTTTCCACATTTTTTGTTCATTTTCCCAGGCGGCAATGGGTTAAATCTTATGCATACAAAGATTTCAACCATTTGTTTTATAGACATGAGTTAATGCTCCTAATTTTATGATTTTTTTACCTTCTTATTCAAACCCAAACATGGTCTTATGGTTTGCATTTGACTATCTACTAGTTGGTCTTGCCCACTATTTTTTTTCTTTCATTTTAGAAAAGATGATTAAAGGTAGAATATTAGATATGAATTATAGTTGGAGTTCAGAGGTTGATAACTCCTACTTATGATTTATATGTTAGTTTTATAAGGCTTTGGATAAACTGGTTGCTCCCATTAAGAAATCCTGCTGTGCCTTGACATAGTACAGCAACTTGGCTTTGCTTCACCACCTCCTCCACCAAGTAGAGAAATGTATTACAAACATCAGCTGTATTTGGTTTTACATTACTGTAGTTTTATCTTGAAAAATTAGTTATATAAGTATATATATATATATATATATATATATATATATATATATATATATATATATATATATATATATATATATTGACTCCTTATAGACTCAACACTTCTGGAGCCATCTGTGTATAAACACACAAAAAATACTACAATGAATATCACACTTTCTCAAAACCACTTGTTCTGAAAGAAATTACAAATGATAGGATGATATTTTACCCCCACATGGCTTTGATTCTAGACATGCTGATATCTGTTTTTCATTGACAAAACATAAAAATGGGGGGTGGGGGGGAGGCCGGGCAGTGCTGGAGGACTTTATCTAGAGAACTAGACCGCACACCCATGAAGTACACAAAACCTAGAGCAGACGGGCATTTGGGCTCATCTGTACATCTATCATGGTGATGCAGATGGTAATGTATATATAGATGGGCTATATACAGTTGTTTGACTTATTTACTTCAAATTTGATACTTCACTGCATTCTCCTTATGCTGCAAACACATTTTGTGTACATCTTGAACCAAACTGCATAAACTGTTGCCCTAAAGGTGTTTGGGGAGGATTTCACCAATAGTCACTGATTTTAAGTTGGATTGAAGGCTGCTGAATTCCCATTATGCAAGACTCCTAAAGCTGTTCCTGTATTTGCTTAACCCAATGGCGCCGGGTGTACAAAACAAAAAAAAAACTCTACACTTAAGCAAACAAAGGTGGCGCGCCGACTTTGAGCGCGTGAGTAGGGGACATCAGCCTGAATCACTGGCTCGTTTGGCTGCACGCCAGCTTTCGAGCGCTTTGTTTACACGTCGATCGGCGTCACCCGGCACCAAGGGGTTAACAGTATGGTTGGGAGTTGAATGGTGAAGTCACAGGTCTGATGTGTTTATACAGGATATTCTTAGTACAGAACCTTATGTGAAATATAAGTACTGCTGGAGATGTGCTTTAAGCTTTTACTTTTCTTGAAAGTGAATACAGTTTTTCAAATATGAAATGAAAAATATACATGTAGAGCAGTCCAGAAGGAAAGCCTTTACTTGTGACTGTATTGAACTGTTAGCTTTATATAAGACCAAAATGTGGGCAGAGTAAAAGCAGAACTTGTAACTTTGTTATAGGGAAGGAAATTGTTGGTGTAAGAAAAAGTCAAGGCAGGACCATATCATTTTCTCATGGGGACAAGGAATGTTCATCTGTTTATCGGAAGTTGGATTTGATAATAAGAACCTTATAAAAGTACCAAGTCGGCAAGTTGTGTCAATTTGTTTTCTCTCTCCCTCAAATTATGATGCTGTAGAAGTTAATAAAATGTGTGTAGATACATAAATAGATGCTAGAAGAGAGTAGACTACCAAGTTCCACAACGTTTTAAGATGTGTATTGACCTCAACTGGACCCTGCCATTGGAAGGGCTTCATGACTTTTCATCTTCCAAAAGGGATAGCATTCTTCACAGTGCTCCTATGGGCACACGTAATAGTACATGGTGGCCTCCCCGATGTGAAGACCACCGTCTATTAACATGCGTACTACTGTTTGCCAGATGTATCAGAGCACAGTTACCTCTCACTGTAATTTTTTTGTTAGGATTAGCTACAGATTTTGGCTTCATGTTTGTTTTTGATGGTAAGAGAGCCTCTAGTCCATTTTGTTCATAATTTTGGTATCATCTCTTTTCATTGGAGTCAAAAGTTTTATTATAAATGTGAAATAGAGGTAACATATTTGCTAATGTTTATGTGGAGTTTTATAAAAGAAGTTAGAAACCCTTAGGTCAAAGGTGTATTTGTTAGTTATGTTAATCACTCCTTACCAGGGTTAATTTACATGCTCGAGCTTAGTCCTTTTCCTTGAGACGTCCCTGACCACCCAACCTCCTGTTTTGGTTGTTACAGTTACACTCCTCTAGAGAGGCAGGTCTAGGCTGGCTTCAAAATGTTTGTGACATAGTTATAACTGGGTATTGATTTTCAGCTAAAGTCTCAAGAGGATAATAGACTAGAGATCACCACCATTGGCCATGAAAAAATTGCCAGTCTGGGCAGAGAATGCTTTAGTTCTCCAGGTATTGTACTTATACCTGGCTCAACTCCTTCCGGACGGGTCATGTGTACAGGCGTCATAACGTACCGCTTGATCGGCGGGGCACAGCTGTACACGCGGCGTTGTGCCAGACTGCATGGAGCAGGAAGTTCCACTTCATGTAGAGGACTCCTGCACCCATTGTTTGGTCGTTGCCAGAAATCACCAGAGTTTATCACGCTCAGAGATTTCTGTTACCCCTTGACGTTGGGTTAAGGGCTAATTAACCTGGCCTTGAGTCTGGTTCAGATTCAGATAAGGCTTGTGTATTTACTTTACAAGATACTTTTTTTATAATCACGTCGAAATACCCGACTTTTTGTGTATATTCACACGCGTTTTATTTTGTATTTCAGAACCGAGAGCTGCAGATTATGAGAAGACTAGAACACTGTAATATAGTGAAACTGAAGTATTTCTTCTACTCCAGTGGAGACAAGGTAAATAAAAAATTTATTTCTCATTTGTTCTTTGGGAATGATAAAGTTTGGGTTTTAGTGTAATGAATAATATTTTTGTATGTTTAGGTAATTGGGAATGAAAATAGGCTAGGTAGCAGGAAAGAAATAGTAATCTAAACCATTTTATTAAAGTCACTCCTGTAATGTTAGAATATCAGCATTTGTATTTTATTATTATTATTATTATTGTTTTTTTTTTATAAAGGGTTTGTTTAAAACCATTATTATAAAGTCATTGTTATTGAATTGCAATATCTGAAGTAAGGATGAAAGCATGACCTCAAAACATACAAAATGTTGATGAAAACCCTGGTCTTGGGGAAAACTCAAGACTATTGCTAATTGATATTTCATCACTTGTTCCTGGATCATTTTGTTGTTTATAAATCACAGAGAATGTTGCAACTGTGAAGTAGTTGATATTAAGGGGAAAAGAAAGAAAAGATGCCATCTTTGGGTTTTAAATTAACCCATTGCCGATGGGCATGCCATGCCATGCCCACTGTGAGTTTACTTATTTGATTGTTTTTACCCATAGATGGCTACACTTGTATTGAGTCACCAATGAGCCAATTATGAGTTCTGCCTATCTCACCCGTTCACCCTTTTCTTTAATTTTCTAAAACATTATAGTAAGTATAATGTTTATAATAAAAATAAGACCATCAATATTCATTGCACTGTAAAAAAAAAAATACATTGTCCCGCCAATTAAAGGAAAGATGAAATCAGGTAAGGCAGAGCCATATATGTGTAGAAACATTTCACAAAAAATTATAAAGAATGAGCACGGCATTTTCCCCATTTTTTATTCATGGCAATAGGTTAATACAACATGAGACATCAAGTTCCAGTTTTTTTTTAAGAGTATTTCATATACTAAGCATATCATTACATGATGAGAAGTGGGGAAAAAAACAGCAGTAGGATAAAGATTATTCGATAATTTTTTTTTTTTTTTTTTTAGGGCTGTGGGTTTCTAAGAGGATCTCTTCTTGTTTTACAACTGGCCTCATAACATCTTGATTCAGTTCAAATATAGGGGCAGATGGAGATGTTTTACTCTGATCAGATGTTTTCCTTGTAGTAAAAAAAAGAAACTGAAAGTAAGCAGTTAATAACAATGTAATGCAGCTGTTGTTTCTTCTTCTACTACTTCTTCTTCTGTCTTTTACTTTTCTATCTTTTTCTAATTCTCCTCCTGCTCCTATTTTTACTTCTCCTTTTCTGCTCTTGTTCCTCCCATTCTTCTTCTTTATCTCTTCCTCCTCCTCCTCCTCTTCCTCTTCGTCTTCCTCCTCCTCCCCCTCCTCCTCCTCCATTTTTGTCTTTTTCTTCTACTCATTTTTCATCTTCACTTCTTCTCCTCCTCCCTCCTCCCCCTCCTCCTCCTCCTCCTCCTCCTCCTCCTCCTCCTCCTCCTCCTCCTCCTCCTCCATTTTTGTCTTTTTCTTCTACTCATTTTTCATCTTCACTACTTCTTCTTCTCTTCCTCCTCCTCCTCTTCTTCCTCTTCCTCCTCTTCCTCCTCCTCCTCCTCCTCCTCCTCCTCCTCCTTCTTCTCCTCCTCCTTCACTTCCTCCTCCTCCTCCACTTCCTCCTCCTCCTCCTCCTCCTCCTCCACTTCCTCCTCCTCCTCCTCCTCCACTTCCTCCTCCTCCTCCTCCTCCCTCCTCTTCTTCAGTGGAATTAAAGCTTTGATTTTTGTATTTACTAAATTATTAAAAGGGTTGTTTCTCCCAAGGCAGAAAGCTTAACTATGTTTATTAACTGCATTTGGAAAAATAAAATTCTGTCAGGATTACTAACTTTGAAAAGGAAAAGTTATCTGTTTTCCCTCAGGTTTCAAAACATGTGTGTGTGTGTGTATAGCTTGGACACAAGTATTGACCACCACAGTATAAATCTACACATTCCTTTCTATACAACATTGCACAGGCACATTACTCTTCTTGTTATCGATACATCCACATTAGTCCCACATTATTGTACATGTATTTTGCTTATCGAACAGTAAAAGGGGCAAAGCAAATTATACCTTCTTAATTCTTTAGCCCATGCCTCTTGTCTATTATATTTGAAGAAGGTATAATACGTTGGTACACTGACCATAGATAAAACTGTATTCTGTTAAAGATAAGATTTACCATTTGTTTTGTGATAATTTTTAATCTGGTCTTGATTGATAACTGAGATATAAGATAATTTAATACATAGTGGGATATGTGTGGCATCAATCATAATTTTTAACATAGCAGGGTCTGTTTATTTGATAAATGGTCATTATGGTGCATGTTTCCTAATCTGATTATTGAAAATGCTACCAAAAGATAAGAAAGATTGTATTGAAAGTATTCATGGCCATGGTTCAGAAACTGCAGATTGGTAAATAGCATTATCAGCCAAGCAAGTTAAAAAGGTGTTAGAATTGATGTCTTCATGGCTGTGAAGAATTTAAAAAATGTTTTAGAATTATTAGGTTATAAAAGACTTAATGTGTGCATATAACATTTAAATTTTGTTTAATTCTTTAACATTTGAAACATAACTGGACCCAGTTAGCTTCTTGTATGCATACACATATTAGTGATCACAAAAACACGCACAAGTAAACATACATACCTAAGCACTCTTACGCACACAAACATGCACGCACAGACAGTGAAAAGAGAGAGAGCGAATAGAGAAACAAATATAATTAGATAATAATAAGTGAGGGAAGGAAGGGAGGGTATAAATGTCACTTAAACATAGTAATCCTTGTGTATTCCCACATCTGAGTGTACATTTAGATTCAAGTAATAGTTATGATACTCGGCACTCCCTCAAAATTTACAATGTAAGCTACCATGAGTCACATACCCACTCACAAAATCTGTGAATTGGGTGTCTTCTTAGTGGTTGGCTAGAAGTCATTATGCATCTCCACAGGCCAACATATTTTTGGCAAAGTCAGATCATAAGAAACAATGTCAGTAATAGTAGAGAAAGACTGAAATTGTTGGCCCACAATAGGTGACGAGATTGCAAATTTTCATTCACTTGGCCAGTGGATACAGCAAACTCTGTCTTCAGGTCTTTAGTTATCAGTAGGGATCCCAGTTAGTGCATAATTATCCATATACACTTTCTGGTGGGATTCCAGGTAGTTATTATCCATATACAGGCACCTCAAACCTCATACAATATTTCATGATCCGCCATGCTCTATGCAAACACAATATTATACATGACCTGCCCTCACCACACATACACAATGTTACATAACCCACCCTTCCCTATGAACACACACTTTAATATTATGCACCCTCCCTCATATGCATGTGTTGGAGGGACAAGAAGTGCATCATTATTGTTTCATCCTTGTGATTTAATGTCAAAGTAACCAATTTCCTTTTCTTTTCTTTTTCAGAAGGAAGAAGTGTTCTTGAACCTAGTGTTAGAATTTATTCCAGAGACAGTTTATAAAGTAGCAAGGCATCACAGCAAACAAAAACAAACTATACCAATCAGCTATATTAAGGTAATTTATTTGTGTTTGTATTGTGTGAGGAAGATCAAGTTTGGAAAAAGAATGAAGTTTTGTAGGGACTTGTTTCGTTTCATCTTTGTGGACTAGTTAGACTACTGTGCTTGTATTTTTGTCCACATGTAATTGATGAATTGATGATATACCTTCATCAGAGGTATATTATTCTGATTGCAGAAGTATCAGAATTGTTTATATGTCTGTATGTGTATATATATACATCTATACCGATGTACATATGTATATGTATATACATATATATATATAGTTATATATACATATTTAAATCTATGTATATATTTATACACATATACATATATGTATATATACATATGTGATACATATGCATACATATACATATGTAATATATACATGTGTAATATACACACATGTAATGTGTGTGTATATATATATATATATATATATATATATATATATATATATATATATATATATATATATATATATATATATATTATGTATGTATGTATGTATGTATGTATGTATTCATGTATGTATATATGTATTTATTTGTATGTATATATGTATTCATGTATGTATATATGTATTTATTTGTATGTATGTATGTATTCATGTATGTATATATGTATTTATTTGTATGTATATATGTATTTATTTGTATGTATATATATATATATATATATATGTATATGTATGTATATGTGTATATATAGGTATGTGTGAAGTTATAATAAATTGCCTGCTCAGTGTAATGGGAATCCAAGGTATCCTCTCCTTTTTCCTCCTTTTTACTCCTTGGGCATTCCTATAAATTAAGAATTCTTTTCTATTTTGAAATGGGTGTGGTGGAAAGATTATATAGGGGATATATACGAATGATAATTTCATTGGATTAATGCATTTATGTTGTTTTGTAACAAGAGGGGAGGAGGAGGAGGAGGAGGAGTTCACTTTTCTTGGCTGTTCCCCTTATCAGCTAAGTGTGATGGTGCTTGTTCATTGCTCATGGTGTGCACTGGTATAAGTGTACACTACACATTGCTCAGCAGTTTACAGTATGGTTATTATTTAATTTCCCCCCATGTGCCCTTTCAAAAGTTCAAGTGTAACCCAGGTTGAGAACCCTGCCTTAGTCTGTCACTTCAGTTTGCCAAAATTAGGTTCTATATTCAAGTTTGGCCTCCAGTAACAGTCTTCCCAAGTTTGGAATTACCAGACCTACTTCATCATTACAGTCTGATATAGCATCTCTATATAATACTTATAGTTATGCTTAGTTTTTATAGAAGCAGAGGTGTACTTCCAGGGATGATAATTGGCTGAATGCAACATAATTGAATAACAGTCATTTCAAATTGTTCTCACCAGCCTGTTGGGTTTGATGAAATGAGTACAGCATCTTCTGTATCTATAATTGCATCAATGTAGTACTCAAAACTTTGTAAATATATCTCATATTCATATTTAAGGTTCATATTAAATAAGTTTTAGGAAACACAATCAGAACATAAGCACAAGATGGATTACACCAAAGACCATATCACTTTGTAATTTGCCCAGATAAAGCAGTAAAATGAAAATATCTTTGGCATGATTGTGTGTTCCATGTTGGTCCCATTGTTTTTTCTTATCTTTCTTTCTTTCTCCTTTCTTTCTCCCTCTTCCCTCCTTCCTTAATTCTCCCGTGACATTTATTTGTGTGTGCTCTTTACTCAGAAGCACACCTATCTCAGATGAAGTAAAGTTGGATATCCTGTTTTATCCATGACTGCTTTTCTTTGA